TTAGCCTCTCAAGCTGGAACTACAGACACATGCCACTGTGCTGGCATTAGCCACTTGAAAATATTTTCATGGACATGGGCCGAGCAGCATAGTCATAATCACCTACCTCACAGAAGAGTCACCTGAGGTGGTGGCACCTGCCTCAAAGGTGGCAGGGCCTGGACCTGCATCTGCTTCCTTGGAGACTACTTCTGGGCCTCACAGATGCCCATTCTCATAGGAAGAATCCACAACAAGCTATCACTACCTTTTCCTGTTTGAGTCCTACCAGCAAGTATCCCTGAGGTCAGGTTACTTCAGGAGCAAGGAACAAGAGTCAGGTTGTAGCCATGAGAACATGGGCCCCTGACTGGCTATGATGTCTGTCCTGGCTAAGGAGGAAGGCACATCTAGCAAAAGACCACAAAATCTTGTGTCCCACCAAGAGTATAGGAGAAAACCACTCAGGAAACCACTGCGGAAGCCACACGGGTCCCCTGCGGACTCCTTAAACCACCAATATACCATTTTTTTTCTTTTTTAGTCCACACAGTTCCACCAGTATGAAATGCCATGACTCCCATTACCCAAGACCACCTGCTAGAAGAAGGCCTGCTCACCTTGCAAAGTTTACTTTAGGTATCATCCCAGGCCTCCCTAACCATTGCAGGCAAAGAAGAGGGTAAAAACACAGGCTGTGACGGTAGACATACCAGTTGTTAGTTTCTGATACTTAAGGAGCTACAGTGATGTAAGGCAGGTAATTGAACCTATGTGAGCCTCAAGCTGCTCTTGTGTAAAACAGTGATGACAAGAGAATCTAATTCTAAGGAGTTCAGGATTAAATGAGCTGAGGGTTAAATAATGCCTGCCAATTAGCCTTGATGATTGGACTCTTGATGATCAGCTGTCACTCTTTGCAATTATTTCTTTTCTCTTTGTTCACATAATATCCTAGACAAACTGAAACAGCAAGCTTTTTAAATATCGTCAGATTCCCTATACAAAAATGCCAGACTCTGGGCAAGTGTGTAACGCGCCACTTCAGCCGGAATTGCCAAAAAAAGGCACCTCCAAATAGGTGACATTTGGACAGAGGCCAGAAGGATGTGAGAGGGAGGCCCTGCGAAGTCATAGGGGCAGTGTTCGAGGTAAAGGGAAGTGCAAAGAGAAAGGCTGGAAAATGGAAGAGGACTGCACGGTCAGGTTGGTGACTCTGAACAGCAAAGGACCAGGGAAAAATGGAGAGACAAGGTCAGGGGTGGTTGGCCAGGTGGATGAGGTAGGGGCTGGCAGGCAGCAGAGGAGGCTGGATTTAGGGGAAGTGTGATTAGAGCTCTGGAAGGAAGCATCATTCATCCTTCTACCAAGGACTGAGCACCTGTCGGAGGCCAACACTGTTGCAGGACTGCGGATAAAAGAGTGACAAGCTACGACCACTTCTCTTAAATAAACGACGGCGACAAAGAAAAATCCTGTGGCTGTCTTGGCTTCCGCCTGCCCAGGAGGCCTCCAGAAGTAGCAGAGCAGCAGCAAGGCCGAAACCTCGTCCACTCACCTGCGCCGAGGCTGCCATCCTGGGACCCTGCAGCCCTAGCGCGACCCGGGAATGCCGCGGCTCAGTCGACCCCAACCCTTCTCTGTCCTGGGCGGGGCGACCTCGGCTGACTTTCGCACTCAGAGCCTCAGTTTCCCCAGAGAAAAATGCGCACAAAGCGGGCGCAGCGTCGGGGCTGAGGAGACGGAGGGCGGCTGTGGAGGTCTAGGCCCCGGCGGGAGCCGGCGGAACACCCCGTTAGGGAACAAGTAGGGGGTCAGGCTCCCGCCAAGACGCGGAGAAGGGGCGTAACAGCCTCATTACCCTTTTCCCTGCTCAGGCCTCTGGACGCGCCCACCCAGCGGTCCAAGCCCCACACTGTTTCAGCGCCAACCCGGCTCACGGAGATGACGTCACGCCAAGAAGCGGAAGTCCCGCCTCCGCCGCCCAGGCCCGCAGAAAATGTCCCTGTCCTGGGCCCAGAGTCTGCGGCGGACGCAAGGGACGACGCCTTCTGAGTAAGGCAGTTTTTTCCTCACGTCTTCCGGGTGTGGGAACTCACCAAGCACAGCCGACTCCATGTAAGTGCGCACAAAGACCCCTGCGGCGTCTTAGGGCCGCCGCTTTACTACGAACACAAGTCGGAGGGTCGAAAGGTCCTTTCTAGCTTAGGAAAATTGAGGTCAGGAGGCGGGGATATTCGCCCCGATTCAGATCATGGGCTGGGCCCAGAACTTCTGGCTCACTTTCCCTCTTTTAGGGAGGTAGCTCATGTAATCTCAGTGCTTTGGGATGCCAACACAAAATAATTGCTTGACGTCAGGAGTTTGAGACCAGCCTGGGCAATATAGTAAGATCTTACTTATATCTATTAAAAAAAAAAAAAAGAGCAAGGCATGATGGCATACACGTGTAGTCCTAGACAGTGGTCAGTGGGAGGCTGAAACAAGAGGATTGCTTGAGCTCAGGAGTTTGAGGTTATGGAGAGAGATGATGAGAGAAAACACACCGCATAAACACACTGAGGTGCCATCTTATACTGATCAGAATGGCTATTATTAAAAAGTAAAAAACCAACAGATGGTGTGGATGCAGGGAAAAGGGAATGCTTATACACTATTGGTGGGAATGTAAATTAGTACAGCCTCTATGGAAAACAGTATGGAGACTTATCAAATAACTAAAAATAGAACTGTAATTTGATCTGGCAATTCCACTATTGGGTATCTACTTAAAGGAAAATAAACCATTATATCAAAAAGATGCCTGTACTTACATGCTTAGTGTAGCACTATTCACAGCAGCAAAGTCATCGAATCAACCTAAGTGTCCATTGACAGATGATTGGATAAAGAAAATGTGATAAATATATATATACACACACACACCATGGAATAATACTCAGTCATTTAAAAAAAATCATGGCTTTTGCAGCAACATGGCTGGAATTGGGGGCCATTCTCTTAAGTGAAATAACTCAGAAACAGAAAGTCAAATACTGCGTGTTATCACTTATAAGTGGTAGCTAAATGATGTATACATATGGAAATAGTGGAATAATAGACGAAATTAAAAAAGATGGGAGGCATTGCCAGGACCCCTCACACCATGGTGCTGCACTCACCCACACCACGGCCATGCCACCCCATTGGCACACACTTGCAGGTAGCCCCCCCTGCACTGCCCAAGTGTGCACACTTGCTTGTGGCCTCCCCATCCCCCAGCCATAGTGCACTCTCTGCAGTCCCCACAGTGTTCTGCTGGAGCACTTTTGCCAGCAGACAGAGAACACCTCAGCCCCTCCAGCACAGCAGGTGCTTCGCCCCAAGCAGCCAGAGAACAAAGCCAAGGGCTTAGTCCCCACTCCCCAGGTTTACAGCATGCAGCTCAGGAGTGCTCAGCTGAGCCTTGGCCTGTGAAAGCACCCATAATTGAAACCATTCAACTAAACCCAACTTATACCACAGTAAAACCCCCAAGGGCATCAAATAATATAAAAGCAGAAAGCCCCATTCAAAGGACAGCAACTTCAAAGAGTCAAGGAACATCAGCCCACACAGATGGGAAAGAACCAGTGCAAGATTTCTGGCAATTCTAAAAGTCTCCAAACGACTGCATTAGCTCTCCAGCGATGGTTTGTAACCATGCTTAAATGGCTGAAATGACAGAATTCAGAGTCTGGATGGCAAGGAAGGAAAAATCCAAGGAAACCAATAAAGCAATCCAAGCATTTAAATATGACATTACCATATTAAGAAAGAACCGAACTGGGCCGGGCACGGTGGCTCACGCCTGTAATCCCAGCACTTTGGGAGGCTGAGGCAGGTGGATCACTTGAGGTCAGGAGTTCAAAACTAGCCTGACCAACATGGTGAAACCCTATCTCTACTATAAATACAGAAATTAACTGGGTGTGGTGGCAGGCACCTATAATCCCAGCTACTCGGGAGGCTGAGGCACAAGTCCCTTGGACCCAGGAGACAGGAGATGGAGGTTGCAGTGAGCCAAGGTCATGCCCCTGCACTCCAGCCTGTGCAACAGAGCAAAACCTTGTCTCAAAAAAAAAAAAAAAAAAAAAAAAA